TCTGATAAGGCTGTAGACTAAAGTAGAATCATTTCTATGGAACAGAAGTGATTTTTTCAATGGTTTTTTTTTAACAGTATTCTTACGTATTGAAGTCAAAAGCATTTCCGAAATAAAATTTTTGTATAATATGAAATTTCAAAGTGGAGAACTTAAAGAATTACTGAAGGTCTTTCAAAGCTCATGCCTCCTGAATAAGCATGATGTGGCAAACATATTTCCATCATTAAGCCTGAGAAAATAAAAAGCAAGCACCAAATTGCTACAAAAAACACCTAATGCAGTTCCCAAGAACCACTGAAGTATTCCAATCTCAACAGTGCTTGCCACCAACAGGGCCTTGATGTGGCTTTGCACCCTCTATCATGTAAAACTTACGAAGAACTGAATTTAAAGAGCTGTTCTGGCATTGCAGATGAAAGAAGTCAAATACTGGTTGATAAAAGCAGTTACATTAAGGAGGTTTTTGAAATCAGCACATGCCACTAAAAGCAAATGTATAAAATAACTTATAATAATATACATTAAATTTTTAAGAATTAATCTTCTTCCTTTATCGCTGTGGAAAATTTTTACTGTTTCATTAAGTTCGCACCAGTTTAAGGTACAGAGCATACCTACACATGCAAATACATTACAAAAACCTTAGATCTCACTGACAGCTTCCATTAGCGACAGAACAAGACGCGTGACATACCTCATGAGGATTTTCAACTACAGCCAATCCTACAAGTCCAGTGGTCTGCACAGAGAGCACAAACATACTTAGCATACCTAAGCATCCATTTCCACGCTGATCATTTTGTTTTGACTCCACACACACCTGACGGGGGCCATTCCGAGGCACCAGCCGGGCGTCCCGCGAGCCCAGGGTCGGGCAGGGCGAGTGCCGAGCGTGACTAGCTCACCTCACCAAGCGGCTGCCGGGGCAGCGCGGGCGCCGCCGGCGCCCCCGCCGTCCCACACCGCGGGCCCGCCGGCATCCGGGCCTGCGCGGCTCTCGGCCTTTCCCTCGCGGGGGGTCCCGCTTGCTCTCTCCCCGCCGCTCGGGCACCCCCTGCCCTAGCCCCAGAAAGAAGGACCCCGCGCTGGAGCCACTGCAGGACGCGGCCGAGGCCCCCTGTACCAGCTCACCTTCCGCAGCGCCCCCGCCATGGCCCTCAGAGGACGCGGCGGAGGGCGCGGGCATGCGCACGCGCCAGAGCGGCCCCGGTGGGCGGGGCCGGAACAGCGCGCGTGCGCGGGTGTCCTGGCTGGAGAAAGCCCGTCCCTGGAATGGAGTCCGCAAAGGCCGATTCGCCACCCGGTGTTTCTCGGTTGTGTGATCAGTTATTAAAGAAAAAAAATATTGATTGCAAATAGAGAACTTATTTTAAGGGGCTTGATATAGAGACAATGGGAGAAAAAGAGCAATGAAAAGACAGGTTAAATAATTGGTAGAGATGAACATGATGTTCATTTGAAGATCCAATTGTCCTGTTAAGTCTTATCCTTATGCCTAGTTGCTAATTTAAAGGGTCAGTTTTGCATAGGGAGTAATTCTTTATAATAACTGTGTTGTAACTTTCTAAAAAACATGTTAAGCTGTTAGCGTCCAAAGGAAGGCATTGAAGATGGTGAAGGGCCTTGAGGGGAAGCTATGTGAGGAGCAGCTGAGGTCACTTGGTCTGTTCAGTCTGGAGGAGACTGAGGGGAGACCTCATTGCAGTCACAACTTCCTTGTGGGGGGAGGAGGAGGGACAGGCACTGATCTCTTCTCTGGTGACCAGTGACAGGACCCGAAGCAATGGCCTGAAGTTGTGTCAAGGGAGGTTTAGGTTGGATATTAGAAAGAAGTTCTTCCCCCAGAGGGTGTTTGGGCACTGGAACAGGCTCCCCAGGGAAGTGGTCACAGCAGCAACCATGACAGAGTTCAAGAAGTGTTTGGATGATACTCTCGGGCACCTGGACTCTTGGGCATGGTCCTGTGCAGGGCCTGGAGTTGGACTCGATGATCCTTGTGGGTCCCTTCCAATTCAGCATAGTCTGTAAAGCTGTCATTCTGTCATATTCTGGACAAATTTTTCTTTATAATTCCTTTGCCCTGCTGTTGAGCTCCTCTTTTCCATAACTGGTAAGCAAACTGATCACACGGAGTTTCAGAATAGCATTGAGTTCTCCCTGAAACCCTGTCCTTTAATAAAACATGCACTACTACCAATCTGTAACTAAAGCAAAGTGATTGATACAGTTTATATCAAAATTCAGGTTTTTGCTTCCCCACTTCTGTGTGTTCTTTGGGATTGCATCAGAAAGACCTGGGGTTTCTTTCCAAGGCACAGAGACACTCTTATCAAAATGATGGTCTTTGGAAGTTTCTGCATTTTTTAAATTAGATAATTCCTGCATTTTCCCTCTCTCTCTTATGATCCAAACAGATGATCTCTCTTCTGATTACACTAGTCAACCACAGCACAAATTGTTCTGTGTCAGGCAAGATTTTAGCTCATTTACTGTTGTTCAAACAGTAGTTCTGATTGTCTGTTTAAACAGACCAAGCATTGGGTATCCTTGCCACATCCTAATATAAAGAGTATAAAACAGTAAGTCTTGTTGATGAAAATGTTCATGAAATCAATCCTGAAGTGATACTGTAGGAAGTTCCTGGAATTGTCAAATTCTGTTTCAATACATTATTTATTTTTAAATATAACAAAGCCAAGAACTAAGAAGTATTATCAGTGTACATTCAATAAGTACATGGTTTTGAAAACGAACCAAAAAAACCCCCAAACCACCCACATAGCATTTCACAGTTTATTTATTATCTGTTTAAGACTGGGGACTCTGTTAAGAGTATTATTCTGTGTGTTAATACACAGTATGTAGGCACTCTAAGAAGGCCTTGCTGTTGCTGTGACTCCTTATCCCCTGTTTGTCTTACCAATGAGTTTATCTCACAGTGAAACCTTACAAATTGCCAAATGATTTGGTATCTGGACAAAAGTCTAGTGATGTATTATGGTGGAATCTGCCACTAGTTAAAGGCTAAACTGTCTCAGATTTGTTGTGATTTATGTAAATATGCTGCCAGATTTTGTTAACATAGCCCTTGAGAATAATTGGCAAATAATTTATTTTCTTAATGGAAGTTGTTTAACCAATGGGGACACAGATAATCTTCTTATACCTCCCAGACCTCGTGTTACATTTGATGAGATTTTAGAGAAGTCATGTGTAATACTTTCCTGTGGGTCGAGTCAGCTTATGTTACAGTTGTACAAGGTCAGACCTTAATTTATCTAGCAACTGTGTGTTTAATTTTAGAAGTATCACAGGACACCTCAGCTTGCAGGGCACCATTCCTGGCTGTTCAAAATGCAAGCCCCAGAGTAACAGTGGCAAGATAATGGTTTGAAAAGGTGAGAATATGGTATGCTCGCCAATTAGACTAACAGAGAAATAGTTTATAACTGTAATATTCACTGACTCCAAATTTAGATTGCTATTAATTATTTTATTGCTATGAATAACCTCTTTGCATGCCTAAGGGCCTTCTATTTATAGAGTGAAGCTGAGGTTGTCTCGTTTATTTTAAGGATAAGAAATTAGAATAACATTAACTCTCACAAAACTTCACATGTTTAAAAGCAATGAACACTTGATACACTTCTTTCCAAGGAAGGATGCAACTTCCATGATTAGCAAGTGGTTTATATTTTTTCCAATGAAAAAACAGTAATTTAGAGAGCAACATCAAGAAGTAATACCTAGTTTTTCAGTCATGAACGTAAAAAAAATGAGAAAAATATCAGGCTACTCAAAATGTTGTTTAAGGAAAATATTCTTGGTAATACAAAAAGTAAAACTCCTTTAGAGTAAGCATTTGCAGTTGTTTCCAGTGATCTAGTGTGTGGGTCTAGCAATTGATAAACAGCCAATGGTAAATGGAAGAAAATTTTGCTGCTACTTAGCCTTTTCATTGCCACGTAATGTAGCAGGGATGTCTCTGCTGCTGCTCAGCCAGCCATGCTGTTGTGTTCCCCTGTGATCCATGTAGAACATCCACACTTCAATCAGACCTTGTCACCTCAGCACAGTGTATTATCAGCAGTGATATAGCAAATCAGGCTCTCGAAGCGCGTATAGACCCCTGACAATGTGTCCAGCACTTGTGCTGTGCTGAGCTGTTTGACTTACACTCACTCTACCCTGTCACAGTCACTTGCTACCTTACTGACTTTCTCATTTTATAATATGTTAATGTTTGTGGGATAAGAGAATTTGAAAACAGTACACACAACTATTCTGAAACACTGCTCATCTGAGGCCTTACTGGTTAAGTCTGTGTTCAAGATCTTTGTGTTGCCTGTGACATAATCAGTCAGGGGAGTATAGCAAAGCAGGAGATAGCTGCCACATGGGTATGGAAATTATATGACCAGAGAAAAGTTTCTGTGATGGCCTCTAAACTGATTTATTCCTCTTATCTTTTGGAGAGAAAGGGGTGACAGAAATTTCTGAAAATAAATGGATTTTCTCACTAGACAACTGTAATGCTCAGTGCTCTTAACTGTTCTTGGAATCACGGATGTTGGAGGGTATTGATCATCTCAGAGGACTAAACTATATGTGAACAGTATTATAGGGATACTGTAATATACTAAAACAGACTTATTTTCAGAGAGTTTGCAATGTGAGACTCTGATCTAAGGCCTGTATAAGTCTTCAGGAGCCTTTTTGCTTCAGGCTCTAGGGAAAATATGATAGGCTGCAATATAATAATTGTCAGTCTCAGTTCTCCTAAGAACAGCAACTTCAGTAAGGCTTGCAGGACATGAAGGTCCATCCATGTAAATCCAATAGGGTGGTCATGACTCATTAAAAAAGATTCTTCAAAAATTTTGTCAATGATATGAAGTCTTCAAATGTAGCACTTTCAAAATGAAAGGTGTGAAGAAGGGGAAGGTAACTTCTGTTTGCCTCAAAGCTGTTTTGGTGAAAATGAGATCATGAATGTTACAAATTTTTTCTTAATAAATTATCTTATTAATAATAACTGTTATCTTATTAATAAATTAACTGTTTGTTTTCATTAGGAGCACCTCTTAGCTGCCAATGAAATGTTAATGAATTCTAAAATGTACTTTCCTTTTAGTTGATGGGAGGCTGAGGTTGTAGGTATGTTTATTGAGATATGCTTCTAAAACTGCTAGTCCAAGAGAGATTTTATCTTTGCTGTCTAAAGGGTTTGTGAGTCTTCAGAACAGTGTGTATTTGTGGATTAAATGATGGAAGCTTTAAAGTATCATCACAATTAGAAAAGTTCTTATGAAAATGAGAGGATAAATACATAAAAAAACCTTGACTCAGAATTCTCCTGCCTGTCAATAGAGTGCATAGCCCACAAGAGATGAGGGAGAGCGGTATGTATGTCCACATTGTGATGGCCAGTTCATCAGTCTAACTTACGTGTTCAATCTTTTGGACTGTTATGCTTCAGCCTTGATTAAAGACACAATAGGAAGGAAAAGAGAACCTTTCAGAAAAGCATTGTCTCTTATGAATAATATAAATCTCTGTTCTTCTAAGTCCCGAATGAAAATGTTTCTGTGAATATCCCTTTATTCATGGACTCCTTTTTTTTTGTGTTCAGAGATGACACTCAAGACCAAAGTTGTATATTTTTTCCTTCAGATAAAATGGGATTGAAGTGCTCATTTTTTCTACTTTCCTTTAGATTTCCTTCCTTGCAGTTAAAAATCAGACCATGGTTCCAGTACATATTGAAAAGAGGTGGGAAACCGTATTATGTGGGAATCGGAATCCAAGAGTTTCTGAGTCAATCTGACTGTAAGCCCTTACTAATTTAATTTTGGTTTGCAAGCTTTATTATAATATACTAAGTAATAAAGTATTTGTGGATGGGATTAAAATACTGGCTATGGTACTTTGATTGACTTGCTGCTTATGAGAGCAATGTAGAAATTAATCTAAAAAGAAAGCTGATTAATACTTTCCCTTGAGAATAATTTTCAGAAAATGTCCTCCAAATAACTTTTCCAATGCTTATGTTGTTTAAATGTTCAGGCAAATTTTCTAGTTTTGGAAAAGTTGCATCAATTTATACCAGCAAATAACTTGGACCATTTTTAACATTTTGTTCAGAAACCAACAGACAACACAAAAATTACTATGTAATATTCAGTGTGTTTGGCAATACAAGCTAGGTTAACATAATTACAGGTGCTATTCATAGACTTAGTGTTTAAGGATTTCTGATTTATGTGTGTGTTAACAGCCCTGTGCTTTAATTTTGTCTTATTTTTTTCCCTTTCTTACATCTTATGAAACAATGTTGGAATACAAAATATGCAATGGAGAAACAGCATTAAGCTTGGCAGCAAAAGCTGGCTTTGTGGAAAATGTGTGAATGTTACTCGAAAACAGTGTTTATCCCAATACCACAAATTACAAAGGAGAAACTCCACTTCTTATTGGTAATTGCCTCCTCTCTCTCAGTTTAAGCAACGTGAATGGCAGCACTTCCTCTCTGTTACGTACTTACCCCAATACTCCCCTTGGCTTGCATGGTTTAGATGCTGGTCATCTTTTTAGATGAAACTAAATGCCCAGCACCTGGTGAAATGTACCCAGTGTTCAGTTCAGCACTCATCATACTTTAGGTGATCACCAGGCTGATCTTAAACATGCTTCTTCTGTTTTAGGTGATTGCTGAACTGCTTCTGAGAAAATGGGGCGTATTTTTTGTTCAAGGTGCTTTCTCTGTATCTTCAGATGCTATAAGACCTTTACCAATGTGGTCCTATTTAACCATCTTAAGGTACAAGAACAGTACAAGAATAAGCCATTGTTTTAACTGGAATATGCTTTTTTCTGCAGATCTGGTGGTCAGTGGAGATTTTTAGTTTTATCAGATGATTTGTTCAGGAGTAGGCAGATAGTTTTAAAAACCTCTCATCTCATTTCCCTCCCCTCTTGTGCTGAAAACAAGCTTCAAGTGCATTTCTAAGTAATACCACAATCTAAAGAAAGATGATTCCTTTGGAAGATATTATGCTGTTGGTAGACTTAAATGAGCTTTACTATTCCTGAATAATTTAGCTATACTAACTTCCAGTTTCTGTTAAATGTCAGAGCATCTTCATGCTTCTTAAGAGAATCAATCTGTGAAATTAATATGAGAAAATACAATATATAATACAATTATCAGTATTAATATGTTCAGTTATCTGAATTTTTATTAACTCTCATCAGATGCTATTACCCTATTACCATTTTGAGGTGCTGAGACATTTGTAAGGGGTTCTTCTGCAATACCCTGCTTTTCGTTGCTTTAGTTCTATTCGATGATTGTAGGTCTGTGAAACTTCAGCTATTTTCAGCCGTTGCTTTTAATGAATCCTGTGAAGAGTTAAGTAGTGCTGATGAAAAAGGTCTTTCCCATTGTAATGACAATTTACTTTCCTAAGTATTTCTCTATACAGACTCCTGAAAGTGAGGTCTGTCAGCTTCATATGGTTTCTGTGATGCTTTTTATTTTTTATGTTTTTCTGTCACTTAGCACTGACTGTTGGATGTAGATATTGTTGTCCATCATACATTTCAATCTTAGTTTCAGTGAAATAGAAGATCAGGTGCTTAACACCACTTAATAGGTGATGCTTATGATTTATTTACTTCTTTTCATTTTAAAACCGATTGGAGGACTCTGTAGTAGAAAGGTAAATGCTGAAGAAGTATCTATCTAGTGGGATGATCTGGGCTTTCAGGTACATTTGGTAATACTGTACTTCAAAGCAATTGTGGATAATTATGAAGACTGTTGACTCTTAAAAACCTTCTTGTGTAATGGGACATTCACAAAAGTTAAATTTGCTAACCCTATGATGCTTATCTCCCTCAGCTGCCCCACCAGTCAGTGGACATATCTTCTATTTCAGAGGGTAGTTTAAAAGTAAAATTAGATTCTTACTTAGCATCAGTCTTTTACATGTGAATAATATGCAGGTGTAGTTATCCATTAAAACCATGGAACCTCAAAACTAGGGAACACGGCCTTTAAGTATGACAGATGTCAACTGTACTTTGGTTGACAACAACCACTGTGTAGACATTAGGATTAGAGCTACCAGGTGAAAAAGAAAGTTAAAGGTGGAATTTTCCAGGGACACTGTAATGTTTGCAACAACTTTAGACATAATTTTGATATTGTGTTATTTTAATTGTTGTTTTCCTTGTGATACACTTGCTTCTGTTTTCTCAGAATCAAAGTGTTGCTGCTTTTGCCTTCCATGCCCCAAACTGACAGTTTTGAACTTGTGTTCGTGTACCTTGATTTCTGAAGCAGCTGAAATATTTATTTATTTACCAAATATTGGATTCCCAGATTTCTAGGATTGGAAATCTTTTTAAATTCTTTATATTGGAACACATGGAAAAGCTTTTCTAAACTTATTAGATGTCTTTAACTTTCAAGACAATACTTGAAAATGTAATTATGTTTTTAGCTACAAGAAGGGGCTCTTTTGAAATGGTATCCACTCTGATTAAATACAACTGTACTATCTACCAGCTGTGCATGAAATGTTGGTCAGCAATGCATGAAGATGCAAAACAGAGATGCAAAGACATTGTTGATCTTCTGAAGAATGGCGGAAATGTGAACATTAAGGGTGAATATTGAGTAACACCATTAGGTGTTGCTGATGAATATGGTCAATGTGATGTGCTGGAGCATCTTAATTATAAATGTATGTAGTCAGGAAAAGAGAAATACACCTCTACCTGGCTGCTCAGGTGTTTCAGGGTGATCATGGAAAAGGGAAGAAAGAGGAGTGATAAATGAGAAGGGAAGAAAGAGGAGTGATAAATGAGAAGATTTGGTTTCTTAGAAGGAAAGGAAGCATAGGTGAGCATTCCTGCTAGACTGGAGTGATGCTTACAAGTTTCCATAGTACATGTGAAAAGAGTGGCTCAGTCAAGGAGAGACTTACTGCTATATATGCCCTTCTTGCCCTTCTATATTTCTCTTTACTCCCTTCCCTTCCTCCTTCCCTTCCTTCTTCCCTGCTTCTGTCTCTCCCTGCCTTCTATCTTTCCTTCCACAAATAGAATTATATTGGTATTAATTAATGAAATGAATTATTTTTGAAATATGCCAGTTTGAAAGTCCTCAGTTATAACACTTAGCGTCAAAGCAGACCACAGTCAGGTAAGCACTTGAGCTTGTATCTGTACACCTCTTGTTTTGCCTTTGAGTTTTAAATTTGCCACAAGAAATATTTCTTGTTTTAGTAAAGTTTTAACTTAAATATATCTGAAAATGAAGAGGAAAGTACTCTGGGTTTGCTTTTATGATCAAATCACTTTGGATATAGGTTCTGTATCCTCCTTTAGTGTGGAGATGTCCAGGCCTTAGCAGAAGATCGTGCATCAGTACTGTTTAAAGTAGCTGGAGGAGGTAATCCAGACTGCATAGCCCTTCTTTTGGAATATGGAGGAAGGGATAATGTGCATAATGAGGCCAGACTGCTTCCCATACACAAAGTGGCTTATTAGAGATTTAGGAAGGAAGTTTTAAGAAATCATGAGGCAGGATTCTGGAATTTCTCTTTCTTTGCTAATTAATGGAATAGATGTGTTTCCAGAGAAATATCTCTGTTGAACAGAACAGTGATAAAAATTAATATTTTAATTTTTTTTTTTCATTCAGGCCTGTTTGCATGAATTAAGGGTTCACAAAGGTTACAAGTCAAAGAAAATGGCTTTTAAAGTAACATTCCTAGGTATCATTTTATGACTGTTGAAGGTCACTGCTAAAGCTTTGTTTAAATTATCTTGTCTAATTGCTTTAAAATTTTGGCATTTTTCTGCACAGATTTTGAAATTACCACTTGATGTGTTGTCTCTTTCAGTTCTGTTAGTCTATTGTTGTTCCTTGATTGAAACATTTAGCAGGAAAAGTGGTTTGTGTTTTTATAGATTGCATGGATTATGTTCCTTCATGCATAAGAATGAAGTTTTTTCTAGAAACACAGGAAGAATGGACAGAGATACATCAGATTGGGTAAACGTCTAACTTCCAGTTAATAATGTTATGATATAGGAAACTTAAATTGCTTATGTCAGCTCGTGTTCATCCAAAGTGTTTTAGCAGTCCAAATATGTACTAGGTAAGAACCAGGTTGTGCCTGTCATCCAGTCCTTAGATTGAGATGATCTTTACCTATTAGCACTGGTCATAAATTAGTTAATTGGACTGCAATATGGCAAATGTGCACCTGGTACAAATTAATCTCATAAGGAATTTAGGGCCATGATTTAGTGGTGGACTTGTCAGTGTTATGTTAATGGTGGGATTTGATCTTAAAGGTCTTTTCCAACCTAAATGATTCTATGAGTCTGTGAATGTCACTTTGTATGGGAAGCCTTTTTAGTTAAGCAGGGCCACTGAGGTACTTATCAAACTCCTTATTAACTGACATAATCCTAGTCATTGCACAGCTATAGGGCACAATGTTTTTCTATTGAGGAATATTGCTCACACTTCCATCCTTCTTTTTGCTCTCTTGACCTCTCAAGTCTATTAATTGTTCAAGGATTATCGTAAGGCATGTTTTAGATCCCTTATGTTCCAGGTGGTACATGGTGACAATGGGTGTGCAATCACAATGTGTATAATTTCCTTACTTTGATTTACACAGTAGACAATCTAGAGTTGCCATTATTAATACTGTCATTGACTATTTCTACTGGGTGCTTTAATTTTGAATCGTCCACCATTGGTTGCACCAGAGATAGATTTCACCAACCTTAACTTAAAAAAATGAGCTGGGAAATATACTAAATGTTCTCTTTTATTTGACTTTTAAAATCATTTTAAATAGAATTTGATTTAACATCAGCTGTTAAAAAACATATTTAGGTGCAAAACTGGTACTCTGTATTTAATTTTTGCTTCAGTATTTTTCGTTGGCGTGCAGAGGAACTTTTTTTGTGTCAGAGGATCATCCAAAGAATTTGGTACTCTTCACTGCTGATATTTCAAGTATGGTGCAAGTTTTTTTTACGTTCAGGAAGGCTAAGTTAAATGAAATCTTTGACTGATATCAGTAGCAGAAGTATTTGTTCAGCATACCCAGCAGGCCTGAGGATGGTAAGGTCTGGTCCTGCTGCCTTATTGATACAGCAGAAGTAGAAAGTGCTGTGGCTGTCCTCAACATGCAACCTTTAAAAGGTGCACCTAGGGAAAGGAGAGATTGTTCATCAGTGTGCATATATCCAAAAGGGAGACAATAATGTTGAACAGATATCTGACAGAAGATGTTTGATTAATATGGGCATTGTGTGTCACCACAATTCTGAAGTTCAGTGGTATTTTATTCAGAAGTAACAAAATAATAATGCCTCAAGGTAATAGATTTTTATGTTAATTTTATTAGAGCATATTTTGGGATTGTGAACTAGCTTACAATCATTGTCAATGGCATTGATTTTTCCACCATTTTTCTCTCACTTCTTTAGATAATCCTTTCTTTTCGAAACATCTGTGTTGTCTGAAAATATGTAAACTCATGGGGTTAAAGAGACTCCAGAAACTGTCATCCATGAAGAAATTTCCACTTCCACCAGTTCTCAAGAACTTAATTCTATATAAAAAATATGATCTGCATGGAAAAGGGATGTATTTAGAATAGTTTTCAACTTTGAATGACAGACCTTCAACTGTGAATGACAGAGAAGGTTTAAACCAGGATTAGGCCACCTTCTATAACAGGCTACTAAACAATAAAAAGGGCCCAGATGTATTGATAAAAAGATAAACACAACAATACCACGTCTTTTTACCTTACCTAATGATATTCAAAAGACTAGTTCATGATGTTTTAAACACTTAGGGTAATGTTCAGTCCTAGATCTGAATGCTTTGATGCTGCAGGCAATGTAACTAGGGCCTGAGGTGTGTATAAAGTCCTAAATATAAACCTTTGCCTGTGGACTAAAATTACTAGTGGAATTTGGCTCTAGCCACAGAAAGGGTTTAAAATCTCCTGTCTAAAGCCCTATTTGATCATGTTTCCTTTGCTGGTTGCAGTACACGGTATCAAATAGGCAATTACCCAGACTCTTGCATTGTGGTCACTGTATTCATTAAAATTACCACAATTGTCATTAAGCCCATATTTCTGTTTAGAAATTCCCACACAGAAATATCAGTTTATAGGTTATGAAGCACACACACATTTAGCCTGGTATGTCCAGGATGTATTGGCCAGTGGATCCCTGACTTGGAGTCAGCCCTGTTGGTCCACTGGGCTCTCTACGCTTAGGCTATGCCTGCAGTCACCTGGGGCGTCCTCCTGTCAGAGGCCAGGCCCAGATGCCAGATACCTAGAAGTTTTTCAGAAATGACCAAGTTATTCTTCTTCATCCTGGTCAAAATTTCTGGCAAAAAAACAGAGGATATGACTTCGAAAGCCAGCTGAATAGTAGCCCTTCTGAGAGCACAAGGAGGAATTAAGATTTCTGTTCAAACTCCTATATGTCCCAGACCAGTAATTTTCACTCCTTCCATCTGATCCAGTAAATCTGTTGTGAGGAGGGACGGACACACAAAGGACTGATATAGCTGCCTTTGGAAATGGAATTTACATCTCTGACTCAGAAGTTAATAAGTTTTATATGACGATGACATCCAGCAAATAAGGAGAAGTTCTGAAGAACAGGGAGAGCCAGTGTAGGGAGCAGGGCAGAAGCACACTGGAGCTGACCTTTGGGTTGTGTGAATGTATGTATGTGTGTGATAACCAGCATATCTCTTAAGCAACAGGTTGCCCAGAGATATTGTGGCTGCCCCATCCCTGGAACTGTTCAAGGCAAGGTTGGACAGGGCTTTGAGAAAACTGGTCTAGTGAAAGGTGTCTCTGGCCATGGTAGGGTGGTTGGAACTAGATAATCCTTAAGGTCCCTTCCAACCAAAACACTTGATGCTGTGTTTAGCTAAACTGACTATGCTCTATGTAATCCCGACATCTGCCAACTGTAATATTTTCTTAGTTTAGAGGGTTTGGATTCTTTTTTCTTTCCTCAAGATGGAAGGGGTGGTAGAACAAAGGGAGTAACTGCAATCAATTTTTAATTAAATATTCTTTAAATTTATTCTATTAGATTTTTTTTTCTAGATGTGCAGAGGAATACTTTGAAGTGTACCACAGCATCACTGAGAGTGTTGCTTAGTGTGGTCAATAAAGAAGTGATCTGCCAAAACTCTGAAGGAACCATTATTAAAGGTACAGTATTTCTCAACCAAGGGGATATGCTACTTGATTTCCTGGTTCGATTGCCCATCAAAATCTACTCTTTCTTTAAAAGAGCCTACTTAACGTGCCTCAAATTTTGCCAAGCCTTGAATCATGCACATACAGCAGTTGTAGCCAGGAGCTAACATTTGGCAAAAATACCTTTTAAGTATTTAATGAATTTTTTACAGAACTATGATCTTCAAAGTACAAAATGTGCTATATTTCAGGCCAATTACATGACAGAAATGTGCATTTAGTGATTTTTTTTTTTTGCCAAGCTAAATTAGACATTTATTTTCTGTTACAGATAAATTAATGCCACTAATGGAGAGCAGCAACCATACTTCTCATCTTCATTTGGAAGTCCATCATGAAAATTCTTCTTTTATCATTTATTCATCTGAATTCCTATTTAGAATATACTGTTATACATAATTATTACAATATCCATATTCTGATTTAGCCAATATTTGGATAGCACAATATTGTGTTAAAACATGAGTTTTAGCATTCTAATTTTGAAAAGAAATTTGTTCCCATAAAGGAACTACTAACAAAAAAATCAGAATGTTGTGAAGCTATATGAAACATCAAACAGTTCTTCGGTTCATTAAAAAGAATGAAGAAATTAGTCAAATTACAGACTGTATACAGTTATTTTTAAAAACTATTCTAAATAGATGACACAGATATTGAAGTTAAGTTGAAGCTGCCTCCCCTCACCCCACATGCTAAAGGAATTACAGCATTATGAGAAAGTGTCTTTCGTGTTTTCGAGGCATCTGTGAACTCACATGTTTTCAAGGCGTCTGTGAATGGAGGTTGGAGAAGCAAGACTTTATTTTAAGTGGAATATGAGGTGAGAAAGTCATGGAAAGGGAGCTGTTTTCCCCAGGTCATGTTTATGGTACAGCTAGGAATTGAACACAGGTCTTTTACAGCCAGACCACTGAATAAGACTTTTATGTACTTGAGTATGTGGTGGTAGGAGCAAGAAATGTAACTGGACCAGGACTGGTGATTGTGCAAAAAGAGGCAAAGGCATCAGCCCCAGCTGGAAGAATAAATTGGTAGGAAAAAACTACTTTTTATTTTCCCTGCTTAGACTGTGATTGAACCCTTGCAACACTGGAATTTAATTTTCTCTGCTATTTGGGTGTGTCTCACAGAGTGTTCCACGGCAACCCAATTCCATGGCATGCCCCCCCCGATGATGTTGTCTAGAAGTAATTAAATGCTCTGGCACCGATTCAGGCGTGCTCAGGGGCAGGGACTCCTATGGATTTGAGGACAATGTTTGAAATCAGAGGTATCATTTGGTCTCTGTTTCTCAAAAAATCTGACACAAGCAGCTGCAGCAGACGGATGAGCTCTCCAAGAAGCCAGACATTCAACAGTGGTTACATCAGCCTTTGCAGCACCCATGGGATGGACTTTGTAGCTGTCAGTATTTTCATATCTCAGTGAAGGAAGGACCAAACCATAGCCATGAGTCCTGTATATGACCAGCTATTCACTGTAGGGGCCATAATGTCTTGCGGGTTATCCATAAAACTCCATGCACTGGCTAACCATCAGATTTTGGCAGCTGGCATGGCAGAGCCTCTGCTGGGTATCGAGGTGGTGGGAGTATGGTGAAGGGGTGGGCAGCAATTTTACTGTTTGGCTGCAGCAGTCTGTGTTCTGGCACAGGCTCTTAGTGCCTGAGCTGCACTTTCTCAGACTATTGCCATTAGTACAAGAGTCACACATGAAAGAACAGTCACAAAGTCACAAGCTCTTTTGTGTCTGCTGTGAGGTAGAGCAAAGGGATTTTTTCTAACCCTTACTTGGGACAGAAAAAAAAGGCCTTCTAAAATATCCAGCTGTTTGGCTATGATTTGCAAGGAGAAAAGTGACATAAATTCATGATCATTTATCTCTGTAGAATAGATCTTATCTCTTACTTTCCTTTCACTCCCAGGCGCTGGAGCACAAGTCTTATGAGGAGCAGCTGAGGGAGCTGGAGTTGTTTAGCTTGGACAAAAGGAGGCTCAGGGGAGCCTTTAATGCTCTCTACAGCTACCTAAAAGGAGGTTGTAGCAAAGTGGTGCTCGGCCTCTTCTCCCAGGTAACAAGTGACAGAACAAGAGGAAATGGCCTCAGGTTGTGCTGGAGGAGGTTTAGATTGGGTATGATGAAAAAATTTTTCATAGAAGGCATTGTAAAGCTTTGGGACAGGCTGCCCAGGGAAGTGGTGGAGTTACCATCCCTGGAAGTGTTCAAAAAACATGTGGATATGGCACATGAGGACATGGTTTAATGGTGAACATGATAGTGGTGCTGGGTTGATGGTTGGACTTGATGATCTTAAAGCTCTTTTCCAACCTTAACAAGTCTATGATTCTGTGATTTAATATGCATCTAATCAACAGCTTCTTACCTTCACCTCTGTGTCTTCTGTGGAACCAGCTTTGCCTGTCTGGTGTACTCTTCCACTGCTGTCATCTGCCTGCTAAATCAGTCCTTTTAAAGCCTTCCCCCTACTTTTTTATGTCATATGAGCCTTAGGACTGATAGACCTCTGCCTTAATGGTCCTATTATGCTTTTTTCCCCCTGACCTTTCTACTGGAAGTTGTTTGTTTAGGCTGCAGTAATTAAAAATGGCACCTTGCCACTCAAGATGTCTGTCCTTCAGCGTCCACTTCTGTGCCCTACGGATAAAGATCTTAGCTTAAAAATACACCATCTGTTTCCAAATGCATGGAGCAACTTCAAAGAAATCCAACCCTACTGATTACCAGGACAAATGCTGCATCTGAAAGAAGTGCATGGGAAAATGGACAAAATTGGCTGTATAAATATTTAAAGATATATATTGCGATGGGAATAATTTTCTATCCCTTAAGTGTCACTCACACCAGCAAAAGAGGTACTTGGATCAGGAAACATATTCCTCAAGGAACTTGTGTTTTGTGGTTCTGAAAAGCTATAAAAATATATTAATGAATGTTTAGTAATCATAGGACTGCTATAACAGTGTAGCTCTGGTGACATGTACAATGTGTTTACATTTAAGTTTAAAAATTAAAATTTTTTGTAGAAATCTTTACATTTGATTGGGCAAACCCATTGCCTTTTGCCCACATATTCTGTATATGGTAGATACAGTGCCTGGAACTCCCATTGTCATTAATATGGACTAAAAAAAAAAAAAAGACGTAATTAAAGACAGTAAAGTAGAGAATTTACCTGGTTAGTACTGCTGCTTGTATTTAATTCCCTATGAAGTACATCACTTGTTTATATTACTGGCATGTCCTTTTAAAAGAAAATCTTCATAAACACATACACAAGGAAATGTTAAATATGGAAGTAAGTAACTGTCTTGCTCTCTGTGTATAAATGAACAGAGTGATTTTTTAATCTGAGTGACAAACCATAGGTTTGGCTAAGCTACATGGGAGAACTGTCTGGGACTAAGACATTAACAAAGGATGAAATCCATGTGCTTTTTATAATCACTTATAGTTCAATAATTGCCTGACCTGCACATGCAAATTACAGTGTATTTGCAAATACCACTGCAAATAATATAGTGGTTACATTGGCAGATTTTACCTAGGTTATTATGCTTTTTTTTTGAAAGAATAGGCTAACTGCAGATGCCAAAAGAGAATCCCATTGCAATTGCACTTCCAAAACTCATGGTTTTTGTGCATAGAGCAGTTCCTCTACTACTTTCTTTGCAATACAGCGGCCTCTACTTCCTGTCTGAAGCTGTTGAGCAATATCACGATGTAATTCCAAACAGCTGCTGTGGTCACCCTATGTCTGTACATCAGTAGCGAGTGAAATGATTTCTATATATAGTTTGTAAATCTGTTGGCAACGTTTGTAAAGCACACTGAGATTCTTCCTGAGGAATAAGATCAGCTATATGAAAGCAAGAGCATTAAGACCATTATTGCGTACAAAGCAGTTTATCATTTTGGTGTGGCAGAAATGAGGAATTGGCCAGTCTGCAGAGATGTGGAGAAGCACTTGCTTTGGGCAAAACCCTGGCAGGAATACTTTGTGCTGTCAAAGATAAGCAGGTTCATCTCAAGCTGTTATTACAGAACATGACATTGTACTGACACAAGATGATTAAAAAGTATTGGCTCTGTAGGAAGGAAAGAAAACTGGGAATGGAAATGACATCTATTCAATAAGATTTATTTGTCCCCCTTGCCTTCCAAATTTTAGTGTGATTCAGGTACACAAAAGGAGCAATAAATCCCAACTGTGCTGCACCTTTGGCACCCAGCTGCATGACTCTTTGTATAATAAAATAAACCTTCAGGATCCATGCACAAAGGACACTAGGTGCCTTTGCAGTGTGAGCAGTGAGTTTTCCTTCTTTTAATTAAAGGCTGAGGAATTTTTTAGTCCAGAAATGTTCTTACTTTCACCTAGAATAATTTTTCCCTCCAGTGCTTCCCTGCAGGCAGGTCGACCTCTTGACTCCCCTTCCAAGATGCGTCCTTACTCTCTTCTCATCAACAGCACCAACAGAGCCCATTCACTTCTTCACTTGCCATGACTTTTCTGTCTTGCTAAGTAAGGCAACCCAAATACACCTGTCAGCAAAATACATCAGATTAGTGGTTGCCCCATGGCTTGTTGGTATCGAGTGTATATTTATGCCCCCAGCAACTATTAAGAAAGCTGTTTTCAAAACTAATCTGAGCAATAGGGCAGCCCACATGCACATGTTTTTGAGTGAAAGCTGATCACTGTTTGTGATGGTCTGAGTTGTTAAACTGCAATCTAGACCTGGAATCTGCCCTCCCGGTAGCCTGGGGTGTATTGTAGGGGATCTGTGGGAAAAATCCATATTTGAACTAGCATGCTGAGTCTGATTTTCAAGCAAGGACTGGTTTTGATTCAGGGTCTTCTTTATACTTACCCCACTTTTTGTTTCCCCAACAGGGATGAAAAGAAAGATCTTTTTTCTTCTGTGTGACTCCATGTTTACATCATCACCAGGAGAGATGCACTGGACAACGGAATCATCTGGCATAGAGAAAAGCAGCTGAAAAATTGTTCCTTCAAATGCCTTCAGTGCATGCTTCATCCCATTTGCTCTGCTGATACCACTGTTAAATGAAGGTGATGACACATCCTTTTCAGGCACAGTACTGTGTGCACAATTTTGACAAGTTATGTGAGTCTCCCAGGGTAAAGAGAAGCAGATTGTCCCATCAGTCTGCCTTGCGGTCCTGTGTACTTGCCAGGCTGCCTGACCCTGTGTCTCTCCAGGATGATTTGAATGATGCATTCAACCTTGGCCTATACAAGCAGCATACTACAGAAATTGAGACACGGGGACAGATAGATAGATAGGTAGATAGACAGATAGATAGATAGATAGATATAAATTGCTATGGTGGGAGGGGGAAGGCAGGGAGCAAGGAACACAGGGTCAGGAGAGAGGGGATGCGCAAGGAGGGGAAGGAAGGACAGGTCGGCAAACAGGCTGTGGAAGTGGGTGAGAACAGCAAGGGGCTATTCATGGAGGACAGACAAGGGTGGCCTGCAGGGCTGGGTACAGAGAAGGCAGTGTAGGAGCGCAAGGCACAAGAGGAGGAGGTGGGAGAGCTTGGGGGCTGGTGCCTCAGCGTCTGCATGGGTGGACAGCAGGAGTGAAGGAGCTGTTAGGTGCAATGAGGGGTAAAAAAGCTATGGGGAGAGGGTGGGAGCAAGCAGCACTGGAGAAGGACAGCAGGAGAGATGAGGAAAGCCCAGCCGTGCTCTGGTGCATTGTTTTTAACGTGCTCTATGGCAATTGGACCTGTTCCTGCAGTGTGGGACTGAGCTCAATATGAACCAATGCATCTGTCTGACAGGCTGTTCTCAGGAACTATGACTGAAATAGTCACAGTCTCATGCCTGAGGACAAGGTTGTGCAGCCCTCTTTTTGCTTGCCTGTAGTTTTCCCTGCAACTCATCCAAGTGGAAATAAACGTTAAACTATGAGCTTTGTGCTGCAGGGGAGCAAGCACCACCTGCCACGGTTTGCTCATGTCCTTTCAGCAATTGTGACAGTGTGCCCCAAATGTGGAAATGTGAGAAGCAGAACAAAGTCCTCTAGGCTGCTGCTTGAAATAGTTAATTGCTTGGAAAGGCAAAAAGGATGCTTAGAAGAGTTTCCTCTTTTCAAACCAAGAAAATAGGCCTCCCAAGTTAGGGAAGATTGAAAGTCTTGTCTGCAATCTAGCTGCTGCTGAGTAGACTCTATCCCGCTCAAAGCCAGGAACCTGGGTGCCAAGATATACAATGACAGAGTGAATCCTGCTCCTATAAAATGGGCACTTCCAGTTCTCATTTTCACTCATTAGCTCAGGTCCTGCAGGAACAAACCTTTTAATAATTCCATTGATTGAGTGATGAGTTTTCATGGCCTATTGGTGAAATAGTTTATTTCCTGCATAGAGGATTTCAGCAGGGCGTTAGGGAAGAGAGTTTGGGTCTTCTGTTAGAAGGTGGCAGAGCTGTCACAGATTGATGTCATCAAGTCAAGGAATCAGAGAATAATTTAGGTTGGAAAAGACCTCTTAGATCATCAAGTCCAAATGCTAACCCAACAGTGCCAAGACCACAACTAAGTCACGTCCCTAAGTGCCATATCTACATGTCTTTTAAATACCTCCAGGGATGGTGACTCAACCACTTCCCTGGGCTGCCTGTTTCAATACTTGACAACCCCTTCCATGAAGAAAGATTTCCTAATATCCAATTGGAATATTCATCCTAAACAGTGGACAATGAAGTCAGCGTAAACCTGCCCTCCTGTACTACATATGGTTCACGCCCTACTCTCCTGCCCTCTGTGATGGAAGGAAGTCCACTGTGCCACCTCACTAGCAAAAGGTCTCTTCCTAAGCTGTTTATAATGGTGTTCTTGAGAACATAGCCTGGGACATATAACAGGATGCTCAGACTGCTATTTTTTTTCATTTTTTTTACAGAGAACATTACAGAAATCCGAACATGTATAGCACCTGAGAAAGGGGACTGTGGAATGGGAACAAAATGCTTCAGGCAAGAATGCTAATAACAGGAAAACACAATCACTCCTGTCTTTGCTGCAACAGTTCCTTTTCGGAGTTGAAACCTGTGATCTGAAATGTTGCAGTGGTGGGAAGCTTCAGCTGTGGCTAATGAACCACAGGAACTGAGCCCTGACCAGTTGAAGTGCTTGCATAATGCCAAATACTGCCAGAAAGGGAATCCGAAACGCCAAATTAGTGAATACTTTCAGTCTTAAGGTGTCTGTACCTCTGTTCTTTTTCCTCACAAAGGTAGTAACACCTTCATGTCCCCTGAAATGGCCACTGGATAATTAAAGACATTGGTAGTCTTATTATGCTGAAGAAGAGGGGCAAAACAAAATGCTGAAAGGCTGTTAAATGTGTACGATCTCTCCCATGCGCTGAAAGAGAGTAAAGGTTCTGGGTGCTCATGGATCTAGGATCAAAGTATATGATTACAGAACCATGGAATTAAGGACTGTGTTTCAACGCTCATCAGCAGGAAAGAACAAATACTATTCCCACATTTTCTGATCTGTGAGTACTTAGCTTAGTCTTAGCATCTTTTTTATGTGTGTAATTGGCCATGTGCTACAGCCTTATTACTTTTATTAAAATTGTCCTAGAGAGGGATTATGGGTCTTCACCCTTGGCCATTCCCTTGTAAAGAATGAGTACTAAATTACCATAAGCGGCGTATAAGATCAAGAAAGGACATCAGCCACTCATAACCTCACCTACTTGTGCCAGTTTCCCCCCTACTTCAGGGGACACATGTACAAGAAAATACCTAATCCATGTTTAGTAACATCTTTAAATAATGTCATGGCTAAAATGGATATCACTGACATTGTATGTGTAGAAAAACAGCACCACTAGCCCAGTGTTGTGTCCTTGCCTCAGCAAGGAGTAGCATTGAAAGTAATATTCATGCTGTTAAATCTTCCTTTGGAAAATTATTTTAGGAGTAATGCATGTTGCTTCTTCAAGTTCCTTTGATTTTGGAAAATTTGATTTATACATAGAAAATTTCACATAGATAATTCAGATATCAGTACGTTTGTACTTTGTATTACAGACTCTTAGCCCAGGAAAATTCGGAGACTTACAGATTTTGTTGTATCTGAGAAAACATAAAAAGCAGAAAGCTCAGAATTTTTGTGAAACAGTATATTTGAATAAATTTCATTTTTAAAATAATCTTTTCGCTTTTAATATTGTACATGTCAGTGTTGTACATATCAACATTGAACTAATATAGTGTATTTCTAAAAGCATTTTGGGTTCAGTCAGGATTTTCTACAGAAAATCTGTCCAGTGCAAATTTCCTAACCAACTCCATCAAAAAATGTGTACAACAAAATGTTGTCTGCAAAAACACACTCCAGAAAGTTAGTTTTGTTGTGCTGCTTCTCTGGCTAACTCCAATGATAACAATGTGAACCTTTGTCCTAGACATACTGAAGAAATAAAAATGCTTGGAGTGCTGTTATATAGAACATCAGCTCTATCTAAAAGCATTGGTGATGCAACACTAAAATTAAAAAGGTACTTATTATTTTTTCCTGTTTTCTTTCATGTTTTACAGAATTTGGCCCAGGCTTCATTCTGCAGGTGCAGCTGAAATAGAGAGCAGAATTTCTACTGATCCACTGTCTATATGCAGTTGGTGTGTCATTGTATCTTATACTGTCAAGGTAATTCTCTTAGCTCAGTAAGCCAAGCATCTTCTTCCTTTTTATTTAATCCAAAGATTTGGTCAATATAAATGACCTGCAAATATTTATTTGTTTTACGATGTACGATATTCCTCAGTCTGCTTTATTAATGTATTTTGTGTGTTAGAGAAGACTAAGCTTATGAGCTTTCGTACCAATTCTTGAGCAAGATAACTGCATGACGTTCATATAGACAGATGAGCAAAGGAAAAATATAATTTCTTTATCGAATCTATGTGAAAACCAAGCTTAATCTCCTTTCTCCATTGTCAGTAAAGCAGTATGCAGAATAATAAAGCTAAGTGAGCAGTTTGGCTAAACATCATACATCAGTTCATGTGTCCAATCCATACTAATCAAAAGAAGATGATGGACAAGAGCAGTACTTAAATTATTTTCACTTACATTTTCATTAAATATTGGTTTGACTGTCTAGAATGCACTGTGTGTAATCATTTAAGAAGGCTGATATATGTTGTTATAAATGCGTTCCTACTTCTCTGTACCAAAACCAACATTCTCTCTGTCCTTCTCCCTTCTCTCTCTCTCTCTCAACATGGGTTCGCAAATATTGCTGGCCTTCATATTTCAGGAAACTTTTCTAGTTCACCATCATTTACTGATAATAGAAAAAAATAAGAAACAGTGCAAAGTTTAACCTTTTTTTCTGTAGTTTCTTACACAGGAACATACCTGTCTATAAAACTAATATCATCATAATATATCATCTCTTAACAGAAATGATAATGTGATAGACATGTAGAATAAAGAAATGAAGGGCACACTCCAGCTGGACACCAGTCAGTGACAGCAAGCAATAGCCATTAATAGAATAACCACTAGAGGCCTTCAGTTGCTTGGGCTGTCAGAAATTATGAAGGCAGAGCCCTGCTGCCTACCCAGGGCTTGTTACCCCTAAAGTTCTGGGGGCCTCTGCTCACTCCTCCCAGCAGAATGCAATTCTCTGCATGAAAAAAAAATTTCACAGGAGCTCCAGATGGGCAAGCCAAGCTGATTCTCCCTCTGATCATCCTAGAAAAAAATAAGGGAATTAATAAATAATCCAGTGATTTGTTACAGGCACAATGTGACATTATGGGAACAGTGCTCCCCACAGGTGCTGGCAGGCCAACCTCCTCCCCTCGGCTGCCTTTCCAACAATCCCAACCGCCTGCAAACACCTTGGCGGGATAACAGCATGGTTCCACTAGAAAACCGTGAAAGCAAGAGGAAGTCTGCTGAACAATGGCAAGGGTGTTTTACTTCCAGCCCCTGGGACAACTCAGGATTAAATGGATTTTCATTGTTCTTTCCCTCCTGCAATTTGGACACAACATTGGTGTAAGTGCGCCTGGGGTTTTATTTGCCGCTGCCCCCCCGTCTGCGAGGCTGGTATTCTCCCACTAGCTGCCTGCTCTAAATATGGCCATGGCCAGTGTGTCAATAATCCCCCTCTTTAAGGGACCTACAAACACTAGTGTTGGGACATTCTTGCTGTTCAGATGTCTAGCTGACGTCTGATGCTTAAAACAGAGCATGCTTTCATCCCTTCGTGCATTGTCGTAAGCCCCTGATGATTACTCTTAAAAGGGTGCCTCTGCTATGCAGGGAAACAGTTGCTGACCACACCAGACACAGCTTGCTCACTTGCTTCAGCCTTCTTGAATGCCTGGTCACTTCAGCTTTGTACCAGCCTGACGAAGCAGGACCATGTCTACTTTTGGCTACAGAAGAGAGCTCAGTAAATATGAAGACATTGATGAAGATGAGCTCCTCGCTTCTCTCACTGAAGAGGAGCTGAAGGAGCTGGAGCGGGAGCTAGAGGACATAGAGCCCGACCGTAACCTTCCAGTGGGGCAACGGCAAAAAAGCCTGACGGAGAAAACACCGACAGGGACTTTCAGCAGGGAAGCGCTGATGGCCTACTGGGAGAGGGAGACCAAGAAACTCTTAGAAAAAGAGAGGTTGGGTGCATGCGACAAGGTAAGATGCCAAGGCATTTGCTGTTCCTGTAAATATTTGGGATTATTCTTCATTGGCATGATCTTGCTGACTGATTTAATTTCCTTTCAGTCTCTTGTAGCATTTTTAAGAACACTGTTAGCCATACTTCTGTGCCTGCTAAAGCTCTGTGTATTAGCTCAGACAGTTTTTGCTCTTTCTGGAGGTACCTTAAATGCTCTGTTCAGAACAGAAGAAAGTGCCATAAAAAGTGATTAAAATATGGAAAAAATTAAAGGGCATGTTAAAAATTATTGATAGGTAGCAATATGGGCTTTTGGATAGCATTTCATTTTTTAAAACAGCTACAGAAAGTGCCTTTTCCTTTTCTTAAAAAACAATCAGTACTGGCTGCACAGAAGCACATCAGGAAGATAATTTTGAATATATGTTATGTCAGAAGTTTACTAAGCGGACACCAGGCTTTGTGCTCACTGGAAGGAAGCTGCATTGCAGTCAGCAGCTTGTGTTGCTTTGTCCCTGCTGAGGAGCCTTGGCACGGCTTGGGAGTCTTCTAGCAACTGTTGTCAGAGGGTTACATTATTTAAAAAGTGGCCTGGGGTAGGGTGATCAGCTGAACCATTTAACTGTATTCCCAAAAAAACAGCCAATAGTGTTTGTTAGGGAACTCATCCCCCAAAATAAAAAAGTTAATAATAAAAGCCGGTCCCTGAACTGGAAAGGAACATTACAGCTGGTCAGGAGTGAAGGGCTCAGTCTTGGCACGCAACAAGCACTCTGTCTCAGCTAAGGTCCATGTTGGCACCACCGGGTCCTTGCTAAAAGTATTTGTGAGACTGAGCTCAGTCAAAAAGCAACTTCTGTTTTCGCAATGGCTCTGTGTGGAGACGTGGGAATTTTTAAGTGCTGCTTCATACCAAGCTCTGACTCTGTTTATAGGGACATGTTTTCTTATGTTTAAATAGAAAATAATGCAACAAAGGGAAAGTCAGCAAAAGTGGACTCAAAACCTCTAACAGCCCTGATTCAGGAATTTGGTTCATTTGCAAGGCAATAATTGCAGTCTATTCGTTAGCTAAAATATCCTTCTAGAGAAATATCAGGTGGATTAAAATACCCTGCAATATCCAGGATGTTTTTACATATGTTTTCTCCTGCTTGTGAATGGTGGTATAACGTCTTTGCAGGCAAGCGCACAAACCAGTAGCTGTCATCAGACCATTAGTGTCAGCTTGCAGTCGTTGACTTCACTCCCTGTTTGTCAAGTCCTAGGGAGGCAATGGCAAGATTAATGTTTATTTCCAGCTAAGCCTGGAACTCGAAACCTGGGCACTTCCAGAAAACCTTCTGAACAGGTCTAGTTCTGTGTCTTATATAGCAGCAGGATCTTTCTTCCCTCCCCCCCATATTTATACAGAATTAATGATGGGTTATGGCTAAACCTTAAAGTGCTGGCAAGCACATCTATACTTTTTGATCTAAGAAGAAACTTCCTAAATGCATCCTTAAATAAGAAAATGTTGACATGCTCAAATAGAGGGCACAAAGGTTCTCTTCACTGAAGGCAGTAAGAAAGCTCCTTGAAAGCAATTTTCTTCTCGCTTTCAACTGCCTGGAAGTTAGACACCTTTATCTAAGATGGTTATTTGTGCTCCTTCTATAGTTAGCGGTGAGAGATCAGCTGCTCCAGAAGGCAAACAAGCTGCAGATAGCCTTTTTGGGGGAGTAACTTGTCCTCCAGAGATATTTATCTCTGTATTGACTGTCTTAGTCCTAAATGTTTGTTGAATTACTACTACAATATAAGGTGAAGCCCTGCAGGCTGCCTGCAGCAGTCCTGTACCGCAATGCTGCCACAGTAACAGAGTACATCTCTGTGGATCTGCAAAGAGAAGAGTATTCGATTTTAAAATTATTGTGCAGATTGCTGTGACACCAGACAATGTATGTGACAGGAAACTAAACTCCCCCTTTGGGCCCAGAAATGCCAGTCAAAAAAAGCCCAAAAAACCAAACCCAGGTATTTTTTTTATTAATCTAGTGACATCAAACATATTAAGAGTGCATTTAGAGGCACTACCTTCTGCTCATCTACAACTGTGTTGAAGGCTGTAGTATATATTCCTAGAGAGAGAAAAGCAAAGCCATGAAGATAGATTCCTGTATACCTGGTGTTTTCAGGTTTTTAAACTCTACACATATATAGAAGCTACAGATATAAATCTTAGTCCCAATAATAAACCTGTAGGTAGCACAGTATCTCTCAGTCTCTCTGCATAGGGGCCTTCCTGGACATGATCCACAGGAGAAGTAATGGGGCTGGATCCTGCAAGACCTCTATGTGCAGGTCAATGTGATGGGACCCTGCAAGCCGCCCAGGTGCTGAATGCTCAGCTCAGGAACATCAGGCGGGAACAGCTTGATGTCCTGTTTCATTATGAGTCACAGTTCTGCGAACATTACAATTAACATCTGTTTTGCGTGTGTCACAACATAGAATTCTGCTTAAGATTTTGAAACAGTACAATGCAATCAGTCACTACTGTTATTTTAACCTTTCCCTGTATTTTCAGAGCTAGATAATTAAGCAAACCTAAAACTACACAGGTTGTCTAAAAATAGGCTGTCCTGTTAGTAACACTTCTGTTTTCCAGAAACCAAATTGCTGTTTCTCTGCAGAGTATATTTACTTTGGAAAATACCCTCTAGTATTTTACAAAGATTAAAAAAAACATTAAACCCCACGAACATTGCTGACATAATGCATACCGAACAATTATATTTCATCCAAAATTTTATAAACATTTACAATGGTAAATAAAAAGGCATAAGCTATGGCTTGTCCAGTAGACAAAATATGACATGGGAGATCTTTTGGGGCAAAAGGCGGGTGGTACATAGATCAGTCTATGGCACATAGATCAGTCATGGCTCATACATCCCTGCTGCACTACTGGAGTCTTCCAGGTGGAGAGTGAGGCTTTCCTGGAGCAAAGACTTTTTCCTGCTCCTGTGCAGAGAATTCTCTTTTGCCACCATAACTGCTAAGGGCACCAGGCAGAGCTTTAAGACATGGTTCCAAATTTGCCTTCCTGGTGCCCACCAAACACACTAAAATAACTTTAAGTTTCAGAAAAAAATCCCTTTACTCTCTAGACAATGAATTACAATGATTCACAGTATGGCAACTGGCCTGCAACAGCTGTTGGTGAGCACAGACTTAGCTCTTGGCAAACATGAAGAAATTTGGGGCTTTGTGACATGTTACCTTGCATTCCTTGTTTTCTGTGGAAATGCATCTGAATCCTTTCTTCACAAATAGTTTCTAAGTACATACAGTCCATGCAGTGCACCCAGAGTCTTTTTGACGTGACTCCTGTAATTCTGAATTGTTTTGCATGCTGGTATACATGATTACACATGCAGACACTATTTGTATATTAAATCATGGCAGTCTTTAACTTTTTTAGGTGTACTAACATATGCAAGGAAGTCTGAGCATTGACACAGATGTCTAATCCTCATGAAATGAAGAAGCTTGTTGCTCATATCCATTCTGAAATTGTTGTCTTGTGTTTCTGCTGGCAAGGGTACAAATTATATCTCCTTGCAGACATGCCAACACAGAAAACTTGAAGTATGTCCACGTTGTAATGTCTTGTATCAAGTTTTCTCTTGGTAGAAATTACTGAGATTGGTTAAATGGTTGCAATTTATGCTGAACATTTTCTAAAGAATATGAAAGAAGTAATGTTAAAAAGGTTTTAGGTGGTGCAGCATTTTCTGTTCTCCTAACTGTATCCATTTCTGAGGATTTATTTTTAGGTTTCAATATTAACATATAGTCTCAATATAATTGTTATTATGCTAAAAGGAAGTAGCTACATTATTTCAATCATGTTTAACACCCATACCTACATTCCTGTTCAGGATTCTGAGCAAGAAGAAGACAATTCAGAAGAGCTGCAAGAAGAATGTTTCACAGAAAGCAATAGTGAAGTCTCTGAGGAGGCATATACTGAAGAGGATGATGAAGAAGAAGATGATGAGAAGGAAGATGAAGATGAAAGTGATGATGAGAATGAGCAAGAGCAAAATGCTGCAGGTGGTGAAAGACCTGAGAATGGCAGGAGTTCTGACCACATCAGACGCAAAAAGTGTAATGGCGTAAAAGACAATGAAAACTTACTCAATGGCCATGATGGAAAAGACAGCAATAGTCAGAGCTTAAAAAGCAGTGCCATTCACCCTTGTGGAAATCCAACAGTTATTGAGGATGCTTTGGAAAAAGTTAGGAGCAATGACCCTGACACCACAGAGGTCAATCTGAACAATATTGAAAACATCACTTCACAGATGCTTATACAATTTTCTCAAGCCCTGAGGGACAACACAGTGGTTAAGTCATTCAGCTTGGCTAACACCCATGCTGATGACAACGTGGCAATAGCTATTGCTGGTATGTTAAAGGTAAATCAGCATATAACTAGTTTGAATATCGAATCAAATTTTATCACAGGCAAAGGCGTGCTGGCCATCATGAGAGCTTTGCAGAATAACAAAGTTCTAACAGAACTGCGGTTCCACAATCAAAGGCACATCATGGGCAGCCAGGTGGAAATGGACATAGTTAAACTGTTGAAAGAGAACACCACTCTGGTCAAGCTGGGGTACCACTTTGATCTTGCTGGCCCAAGAATGAGCATGACAAGTATCCTGACAAGAAATATGGATAAACAAAGGCAAAAGCGTATGCAGGAGCAGAGGCAACAAGAGTCAGGTTGTGATGGAGCCATCAATCCAAAGACCAAAGTGTTGCAGAAGGGAACACCTCGATCCTCACCTTATGTGTCACCCAAGAGCTCACCATGGTCTTCTCCAAAGCTCCCTAAGAAAGCACCTCCAGTGAAAAGTCAGCCTCCAGCTCCAGCTCCCGCACCTCCCCCTCCCCCACCACCCCCACCTCCACCTCCACCTCCCCCAGTTATTCCAGAGAAGAAGGCACCAACCAGGAATATAGCTGAAGTCATCAAACAGCAAGAAAGTGCAAAAAAAGACTTACATAATGGACAGAAAAAGAAAAAAGGCAAAAAAAGCAGAAAGCATGAGAACAACATATTGAAAGAAATTAAAGATTCTCTAAAATCGGTCTCAGACAGAAAATCAGAGGAAGGTTCACAACCCTCCACCCGTCCATCCACCCCACAAAGGTCTCTCCATGACAACCTTATGGAAGCGATCCGGGCAAGCAGCATAAAGCAATTAAGGCGGGTAAGTGAGAGATCCTTGTTCAGTAACTGATTGTGGCCCAAAAATAGCACAAGCTCAGGTAATTTTAGTACATATATTTAATAAATGAAAATTCTTAGAAATGTGAGCATAATAAAGCACTTGGGAGGAGGCTTTCCCCTGATCGGGCTTTTCTCAGCACACTGATTTCTCTCCAACTGTGAAAGTGGGGCACTTTCCCAGGTTCTGTCTTGTTATGGGAGAGGGTGGATAGCACACGGCTTTTGGGAGTGTATGTCTGGTAGGAATGTTGCCATCCAGACTGTACAGCAAATGTACTGAACACCCTTCCCACCCCTGTTTCATAGGTGGAGGTACCAGAAGCCCTTCGGTGAAAGCCTGGATGACAGAAGAAGCAGAACCCTGCAGTGACTGAGGGGAGGCTTCTTGTCCTTTCATTGGCGGTAACATAGACTGTCTAGCAAGCTGCTTCCAAAGTACACTCTTAGATTCAAGCCATTTCCCTTTTATTTCAAAGAAATAAAACCGCTAAATACAAAATAATGCTTTAAGGATCCATTTGCCTTGTAATCTGTAAATATGGAAATAATTTTCTTTTTTATTTAATGAGATTTCTATTGAGAAATTGCTTCTTATTTAGATATTCTTGTCAATATCTTGCACATCACTTGGCAAGTTCTTCACACTGAGATGTAATAGTTTAACAGCCTGTGGTTTCTTCTGGTTTTTCCATGAATTTACAATAAATGTGGTTTGAAGCTTTCAAGCAGACACATAGTCCTTTATTTCTGTGAGTTAAAACCCACCAGACATTTGCATCATGTTCATGAGCATTCAGGAAGTCTCCTGGGAAAGAACCTGAGATCTTTCTCAGCTGTACCTGTGCCTGTGTGGAGTATAGTACCTGAGCCCATATATTAGTGCAATTCCATACTGACATGGGAAAAAATGGTTCATAAGGCTATGTACGACTAAAACTAAGATATGGGCTTTGTCAAGTCATCGGTGTTGCATACCAGGTCCTAAACCTTGGTCTAAGAGAAGAAGTGGGAGATGAATAGATACGTAGTTCGTGTTGACTTATGGGTTAAATATTAATGCCAATATTTTATGGTTGTGAAAGAATTATTCAATTGAGATCCATTCAGTCCAAGTGCTGTATTTAGGCAGAACTAACCCCAGCTGAGATATCCAGTCAGACAGAGAAACTTGAAAAGCAGTCTGCCATTCAGGTGGAAAAAGGCTTTCCTATGGTATCAACTGAACAACAAGCAGGGTGTGAACTGTCAATATGATACAGTGGAAGGAGAGCCAACATCATTTGGAGATGCATGGCTGGAGGTATCACATCACAGGCAATGACATGAATAGCCCTTCGTCATGTAGCACTAGACATCTCCCTTGGTCAGATTAGTTATGGTTCTGGGTGCTTCAGCTAGTGTGAAGGTAGTGATAACATGAAGAAAACTGAGTAGTGGCCAAAATGTTGAAAGGTGAGAGAAGAGATATGTTCAGAAGCACTACTAAGTATTAATTAGTTTGCTCATTGCAACTATAAATAACAGAATTAGTATTTCTTTTACATAATACCACATCAATGAAAGTAATTACTTAAAGTTACTCAACACTGCAGTGGTACTGAAAAAAACACAGGTAAGCTTGCTCCTAGAAACATTAATTAGACAGATTTCCCCAGAAATAGGAGCAAATTGCTGGAGGGAAATGAAACGTAAGGGAGAGGGGATCCTTTAATGAATTGTCAGGAATGTAACTGTCATAGCAAGAAAATGGTGAAAATACCTTTTTGCATTTGTATTTATTGACTAGAACATACCAAAATCAATATATAACTAACTGAGACACATTCCAACATTTTTTTTCTTGCCTCAGGATCACAACTCATGAGTTGTTTCTAGACCCAGTGTCACAGGAAATATGGTACGTACAATTAGTCTTTAGCTGCCTTTATAATTGCATAGGCTTCCGTAGCATAAAAATCAACCTATGGTCAGTTTTCCATGACCAAATGGAAGCTGGGGCTTCGGATCTTCTGAGGATGGAAGCAATACTGGAATGCAGACAACAGTCAGGAGTAGACCTGCGGCCCCAGACCTTGTCTCCAGAAACTTTGCGAAGGATGAGAAACATCCTGGATTTTTAATCAAATGGCAAAAGCAGATAAGCAAGGGAAAATAAAAGATAGGGAGGGAAAGCAGGAAAAGCACAATGGAGAGGATTTGATGGGACACAAGAAAATGTTTTTAAAAACCAAAATCATACTTTTAAGGAAAGAGGGAGAGTGAGAAGTGAGGAAACTATCTGTATGGGAGGTGAAAAATTATATAGAAAAAGAAGATAGAAAAGAAAATGAATCCTGAAAAATGACAGATGAGAGAAGAGAAGAATGTGGAAGAAGAAAAAAGCCTAGAAAAAAGGAAAAGGGAAAGTAGAATTCATCTTTCAGGTTGGTAAGAACTACTCTTTTGCAGAAGGGGAGGGTGATAGGCAGAGTCCTTAAGAAAATTTGGCCAGAGCTCCTGACTGTGGAGGCTGTGAAGTAGCCATCAGCCCTCTCAGGTGTGAGCCCTGCTCTGATGTATTGTAATGGAGGTGGTGACCATGTGTGGATACTGAAGCTCCTGCAGCACACTCGCTCATGAAGGGTCAGTCCTGTGCCTTAGCCAATGCACAGCCAGTGCTATACTCCCATCAGAATTGGACACAGGAGCCCCAGGATGCAGGTATGCTCCTCATTTGGACTTGTAAGGCTCCGGCAGTGGGTGGCCATCCATTTTCTCTCAGTCAGAGAAACAAACACACCAAAATCTGTCATCCATGCTGTGTAAAATGGAACAACTTGGCACCTCGAATCCTCTACCCCTCACTACAAGAAGGATATTGACATGCTTGAGCACGTCCAAAGAAGGACAACACAGCTGGTGAAAAGTCTGGATCACAAGTCCTCTTAGGAATGGCTGAGGGAGCTGGGGTTGTTTAGCCTGGAGACAAGGAGGCTGAGTGGAGACCTTATTGCTCTTTACACCTAGCTGACAGGAGATTGCAGCCAGGTGGGGTTGGTGTCTTCTCCCAGGTAGCAAGTGACAGGACAAGAAGAAATGGCCTCAAGTTGCACAAGGGGAGAAAAGAAAACTCTCTTCTCCAAAAGGGTGGTCAAGCATTGGAATAGGCTGCCTAGGGAAGTGGCAGAGTCACCATCCCTGGAACCGTTCAAAAAATGTGTAGACATGGTTTAGAGGTGGACCTGGCAGTGCTGGGTTAAGGGTTAGACTCAATGATCTTAGAGGCCTTTTCCAACCTTAATGATTCTGTGATTCCATAAAAGAACTGACCTACCAAGCACCAGAAATATCAGAGCCTGACTGCTACCTGTAATTCCAGTATGTGGCCCTTTAATTCGTGCCTCATCACCCAGGGAAGTATCTGAGTATATAGAAAGAAAAGGAGCTCATGAAAGTCCAAGAAATTTTATTTCCACATCTTCTGGAAGTTTCCTGTGTCCTGCTGAGTCCCCTGTTGATGTTCTGGATAGTGACCCACTTTGCTGGTATTTAGCTGAGGGCAGAGGCGCTGGTCTGACTCCCCTGCAGATGTGCTTCCTTCCCACCAAACAGGGCAGGTGGCCCTGGAGGCTCCTGCCAGGCAAAGCCACATCCATTTCTGGAGGCTGAGTCTGTGCTGCTCACAATGGGAGAGCCAGAGAGCTGGTCCAGGATAGCCCCTGCATGGTATGGTGGGAGAATGGATATCCTTGGAAGCTGCAGGCACAGGGGAGCACGAAGATACGGCTAAGGCCTCTCCCTTGCCCACATGCTAGGACAACACAGTTACAACCCTTGCAGAACAGAGCAGAAGCTCTGAGTATTCCAGACTTCCACACCACCACTCATATGTTTTCCTCAGAAGTCCATCAGGTCTATGGAAGTAATGATTAAGGCAGAGCAGCCCCACAGCCCAAAGAGAGAGGACTTGTCTGTAGGTTGTTTTGAGAATTACATATAACTACCACAAGTTAGCCATGAAGAGGGGATTTGCAACGCCTGGATGTAAGGTGAGCGGTAGCTCCAAACCTATTCCCGGGTGCAGGTCCAAGTGAAACAGCACCTGGAAGAGTGTGTATAGTTCCAGTAACTGACAGCCAGGAAAAATTGTTTTGAATTGGAAGAGGGACAGAAAATGGCTAGGATAATTGGGGAACTGGAGAGGCTGTCCTGTAAGAGAGATGAGAACAGGTGGTGGGATCAGTCTAGCCAAACAAAGGCTCAAAGGGATTTCAGCTCATGTCTATAAATACAGCAAAGGAGAAAGAGCTACAGGACACAGTTTAGCAGTAGGGAAAAAAAAAA